CCAAAGAATTTCTCCCTCCCATCTCAGCTCCAGCTCCCTCTGCCAGCTGGAAACCCTTCCCCCTGCTCCCATCCCTCCCTGCCCTTGTCCCAAGCCCCTCCCCAGCTTTCCTGGAGCCCCTTCAGGCACTGGAAGGTCAGCTCATCCCATCCCAGGGAGATGGTGCTTCCACCCCTGAAGTGGCTCGTGAGCCCAGATTATTTTAGGGATGCACCCTGGGTGCTCCCAGGCCATGGGGTGGGTGGTCAGGATGGGATCATCTGCAGTGAAGAGGATTTATAGGAGTGTGGGACTGTTGGGCTGTGGGGCTAAGGAGGAGCCCAGCTCATCTGCAGCCACACTTTCTGGTGTCCAAGGGGAAGGTGAGGAGGTCCACCACACAGGTGGCTATCCTGGCCCCCACGACCTTCATGGGAACTGTTGGGAGCACCTCAGGTGGCCTTGAACCCAACCATGGTGCAGGTGCTGGTGGGTGGACAGCAGAGAGGGGCCAGGATGGGTGGAGTGGGGAGTGGTGGCATCTGCTGGAGAGTTGTCCTCTGGACAGCTGGCCATGGAAAGTTGTCCCATTTGGGGGTGCAGGAGGGGAGGACAGAAACTGAGGGTGTTTGTCCAACCTAGGAGAGCTGGAGCCCTGAAAGAGTCTCCCATTTTTTGCCTGTTACACCTTCCTCCCTCTCTTCCCTCCCTCCCCTCTCCAAGCTTCCAGGCTGGCACCAGGGGGGGGTTCCAGCTGGAGCTGGGACCCCCATGGTTTGTCCACCTGCTCCATGGGGTGTCCACTCCTTTCTTAGGGTGTCCACTTCCAGCAGCTGGGGAAAAAACGGGGTCACCCAGACCTGGGGAAAGGGGAGGGGGTGACACCTGCCCCACTGTGGGTATGGTGGCCCCCCTGGGACGTTGAAAGTTGGGGTCCCTGGTGGCAGGGACTGGGGGGTTGTTGTGGCTGGGGATGTCCCCCACCCCCCATACAATGGGGGAGAGGCTTGAGGGAAGGGATGGGGAGGGGTTCCCTGGGAGGAGGGTCCTTGGTGCACCCCAGAAGGGATGAGGGGGGTTCCCTGGGGGTGGGGGTCCCCAAGTCAGCCTGGGAAAGATGGGGGGGGAGGGGGAAGTCCCCTGGGATCCCCATCCAGGAAGTGTTGGGAGAGCTTTTCTGGGTATGGGGGGGGTCCCCAAGGAGGGATAGAGGGGTTCCCTGGGGATGGGATACCCAGGACAGCCTGGAGGAGATGGAGGGGTGGGATCCCCAGGTATGGGGGTCCCTGCAGCCACAAGGCCAGAGCAGGAGGACCTGGGGTAGATCCTC